TTCTTTTCTTTTCTTTTCTTTTCTTTTCTTTTCTTTTCTTTTCTTTTCTTTTCTTTTTTTTCTTTAATTTTTATTTTTGAGAGGGAGAGAGAGAAAGAGAGACAGAGACAGAGCATGAGCAGGGGAGGGGCAGAGCGAGACAGAGACACAGACTCCCAAGCAGGCTCCAGGCTCCAAGCTGTCAGCACAGAGGCCGACACGGGGCTTCAACCCACGAAGATCATGACCTGAGCCCGAGTCGGATGCTCAACCAACTGAGCCACCAGGCACCCCCCACTCCTTTTCTCTAAAGCCGGAGGACAGAGCTGAGCACGAATTGGAAAGAGAGATGGAAGAAGAGAGCAGAATTAGAGGGAGGTAGGGGTGGAGGGGGGGCGGAGGGGGCGGGAAGAATGTCAACAGCCAGGCGCGGGCTGGCCCCAACCAGAATGAGGCACCTACTCTCTACACTGGCTGGTGACCCTGCCGCGGTTACAGGAAGAGATACTCAGTACCCAGGATACTGTGCCCCAGCTACAGCGGGAAATCTGGGCGCAGAGGATGACACCACGTCCTGCCACTTGGGTCCCACCAGCTAGAAAAGCCTACCCCTCCTGCTGGGGAGACACGTTCCGCCCACTTCCTCCCCTTTCCCTTCTGCAGATTTCTCCTCTCGGAGAACCGGGACCCCGGCTGGACACTGCACTCCAAGGTGAGGCCAAGTGGCCCCGGTCCCCTGGACTGACTGCCTCTTTCAGAAGATGGGACGAGGGTAGGCAGGAATGCTGAGACTGTCAAGCTTTTAAAAACTAAAGTAGAGGGGCGCCCGGGGGGCTCAGTCTGTGGAGCATACGATTCTTGGTTTCAGCTCAGGTCACGGTCTCGCGGTTTGTGGCCCCGCGTCGAGTCGGGTTCTGCACTGACAGCTCAGAACCGGCTTGGGATTCTCTCCCTACTACGTCTCTCTCTGCCCCTCTCCTGCTCACGTGCTCTGTTTCTCTCTCTCTCTCAAAATAAATGAACTTTAAAAAGTAATAATAATAAAGTAGAGCCCAGAGAAAAAGCCAAAGCTGCTGCCACGTGGCCCCAGCAACGGATTCCTGCACATCTCTTCCCTGTCTGGGTGACTGGCCCTTCCTTCCCTGCAAAGTCTGTGCTCGCACCAGGTTTGGACCTGAATACTGGGGAGTGTCCGCCTCAGGCTGGGTTGCGAGCGGGCCACCTGAGGTCTCCTTGAGCCCATGGGTCTTGGGGCAGATCTTGAGAGCAGGGCCCAGTTTCGTGTTCGTGGCCCCCATATGTTCTTCGGGTAATCCAAGGGCCTTTCTGTCAATCTGGGAACGAAAGTCCTCTGCAATCTTCTGGAAGCCTCACAGAGAAGGCGCACACAGCCCCTCCCTGCTCCAATGGCTGGCTGCGGATGCACTGGGGGAGGGGGGGGGCGGCTGGGGGGGCTTGGTTGAGGGGGACGTTCTCACCTCCTTCCCTTCCTGGAGGGACAGGGACACACAGGTCAAGGCCCTGCTGGTCCTCAGAGCTTTCCCTCCAGGCCTGTCACTTCCTGCTGGGCTGAGAGTGGGCCGTGGGGGTGGGGTGGGCAGCAGGCCCCCCGTGCTTTTGAGGAAAATTCGGGAATCAGGTGAGGGAAAGGGACGACAGGAAGAGTGACAGTGACGGGTATGCATCTCAATTGCCTGGTGGCTTTTCTTCGGGGAGAAACTACTGTTTTGCCCGGAGCTTTGTATAACCGGTCCTCTGTTTAGCAAACATCCTCAGGGGCTGGAAACACAAAGATAGTTAACACACAATTTTCAGGTCAAGTTGCCTGGAGGGCAGGGGGCAGGGAAATGCTGGTACCACCAGGACCTGGGGAAGGAGGCATAATTAGCCCCCAGGAGCAGATGAGGAAACAGGCCCGAGGGCAGACCGTAGCTCGGAGTTTACACGGCTGGTAATGTCCAGGCCAGGGACGCAGCTGTGGTCCGTCTGCGCTCCGTGACCGCTACAAAAATGGGTTTCTATGCAGTCACAATTTCCTTCTGCTTCTCTCACACCCCGGGGCTGCTTGTTTGTAGCCCTCGTAAGGTTCTCGCTCAATCAGGAATCTCTTAGGAACACACACCGAGCAAAGGGGGTGGGCGAAAAGGGGAACGAGTGGAGAAAACAACTTCAAACAGCTCACTGGCGATGCTTCCCAGTAAACAGGCCACCTCGCTTCCCTAAAAAAACCTCTGTAAGCAGATTCCGTCTCTCCTCGCCCTCCCGGACCGTCCCCGGGGCCTTCCTCCACTGACCGGAAAACACATCCAGATACACGGGGTCACTGAGGCTGGTCTGGTCCGTCTGGCACGCGTACTCCCCTCTATCCTTCTCCGTGGCCTTAAAGCTGTAGTTGGGCCGGACCTGCGTGGGGATGGAGCTCCCATTATGGAACCACCGGATGGAGTGGTCCCCGGCTGTGTGGGCCCCCTGGCACTTCAGAGTCACGTCGTCCTCCCGGAGCACGAGGATCCACGGGGGCTCCAGGTCCACCACAGCCTTCGGGAGACCTGCTCCGGGGCAGAGAGGAGGGGAAGCATGAGGAAAAGGGGCCCCGAGAGCCTCAGCGGGCCCCGAATTTCAAGCACCTGAGGTCCCGCTGGGGCCATCAAGCGTGGAACCCGGCCCAGAACCGTTCTGCAAATGTAGGCAGCTCCTTTTACTTGTACACCCCACCGCAGGGGCCCCTGGGAAGCCAGGTCCCCTCAGAGAGTGTCGCCGCCGTTCCTCAGAAAGACAGGGCAAGAGGTAAGAGAAAGGGAGAAGGGGCAAGGCAAACATTCTAGAAGTATATCTCACCGGGGGCCATCCGAAGCAGGTCTTTCTTTCTTTCTTTCTTTCTTTCTTTCTTTCTTTCTTTCTTTCTTTTTCTTTCTTTCTTTCCTCTCTTTCTTTCTTCTCTTTCTTTCTCTTCTTTGTTTCTTTCTTTCTTTTTCCTTCCTTCCTTCCTTCCTTCCTTCCTTCCTTCCTTCCTTCCTTCCTCTCTCTCTCTCTTTCACACACACACACACACACACACACACACACACACACACTACACATGCATGCCCTTTTGGAACTCACTTTCCTCCCCTGTAACCTGAGGCATGTGAACACTGTGGATAAACTCTCTGCAGAGCTGGATGAAGACCGTGGGAGCATCTGGTGAAAGTGTCAGGCATGAGGCAGACATCAGGTTTCCGTTCTGACCTGATGTCAATCTTTATCCCTTAGACTAGACCTATCCTCACCCAAGTACAGTGGAGGCTCCGTGGCCTCAAAAGGTTAAAGAAAGAGAGAGAAAGGCTGGGGGGGGGGGGGCAGTCTAGGGATCCTGGGTTCAGTGCCCCAGGGAGAACCTCCGCCTCCCCCCCCTGGGGGGCCTGGGACCTGGGGAGCTTAGTGGCAGAGAGAAAGAAGGCCCTGCAGAGTTTGCTTCAGCAAGCTGCACCCAGGGGTCTCTCCTCCTATTTCTATCCAGGGAAACAGGCCCCGAAGCCCTCAGATACACCCAAAATGGAAAATTTATCAACACACGGAGACATCCCAGGCAGATGATGGGATTTTGTGTGCAGCTGAAACTAAGATTGTCTGGGCTCTTGATTTTACTTGGGGAGAGGAAGGTGCGAGAGAGACGATGAGTTATGTTCTGTGACAGCTCACCAGCAGGGAACCGGAAGGGCTGAAGCCACCTATGCCCCCAAGGCTCCCCTGCTTCCCTGGGAGAAGGGGAAAGAGAAAGGAGGGGAGGGGGCGGGGCATCTTCCGGGAGACTCCACTTCAGTATGGGGTTACTGGTGCATTCAGGGCACCTCCAGATGGGGTGCTGGGAGTAGAGGAAGAAGGTGGCTGGGGGAGGGAGAGGATGTGGGGGGAGCACTTACCAGGTGTCCCAACGACTGGACCTGTAAGAGAGAAAAGCAAAGATCAGCCTGGAGTTTAGATCTGATGATTCATCATTACAAAGCATCCCCTCAAAAAAAAAAAAAAAAAAAAAAGCCCCCTATGCAAATCCCCTTAACTTCCTTACCCTTGGCTGTCTCTGTAGTGTCCCTGTCTTTACTGGTTCAGCTGTGTTGTTACTAAAATCACCTACACAAGCAGGCAGATGGATGTTTCTATAAATTTACGGTCATCATATTCAAAAGGACACTGAACTGTCATTCTGAAAATTTTTTTTTAATTTTCTTTTTTAATGTTTATTTATTTTTGAGAGAGACAGAGACAGAGACAGAGACAGAGCCTGCGCAGGGGAGGGGCAGAGAGAGAGAGACACAGAATTGAAGCAGGCTCCAGGCTCTGAGCTGTCGGCACAGAGCCTGACGCGGGGCTCAAACCCATGAACCCCATGAACCGCGAGATCACCACCTGAGCCAAAGTAGGGCACTTAACCAACTGAGCCACCCAGGCGCCCCTCTGACAATTTTCTCCAGTAAATTTGCTCTGCTGCCCGGTAACACTCATCTTTTCTCGCTGCCAAAACTTCCCTGCCCTCTGCCTTGGAACCCTTCTCTCCTAAGGCCCGACTCCTTCCTCCGTAATTCACAGAAAACAAAAGCTGGTAGGAAACCTCACGCCTTCCCCCAGCTCAGTCTGCACCTCTGTCCAACTTCCTTTCTCCCTGTTCTCTGGGCAAAGCCTCCCTGCTTCTCTCCCTGGTCCGTCTCCAGGCTGTGTTGTCATCTCTGTCACCCTGGCGAGCATTTCCCTCTCTCTGTTACTCCTATCCTCTTCTGCATCATCAATTTGTCCTTCTCAGCCGGGTCTGGCCCGTCAATGTAAACATATCCCAGGACTCTGCCGTTGCCGGTTCGCTCTAACGTCTCTCTCCCGTTCTTCCCCCGCGAAAGTGTACGTCTTCACTATCTACCCAGTTAGCCAAGCCTGGAAACTGCAACTCACCTCTATTCCCCTCCTCCCAAGCCCCCCACCCCTTTTCACATCAGTGAATCTTGTTGATTCTGCTTCCCGCTTAGGCCTGGAGTCTGTCAGCTTCACTCCGTGCCCGTGACTGCCGTGCAGGTTTAGGTCACCACCAGCTTTTTTCCACCTCCTAACTCCTCTCCTCACTCCTGTGTCCCCCTACAATCCACTTCCCACAGAAAGGCCGGAGTTATTTTTAAAATGTCACATCAGGGGCGCCTGGGTGGCTCAGTGGGTTAAGCGTCCGACTTCGGCTCAGGTCACGCCCTCGCGGTCCGTGGGTTCGAGCCCCGCGTCGGGCTCTGTGCTGATGGCTCAGAGCCTGGAGCCTGCTTCCGATTCTGTGTCTCCCTCCTTCCCTGCCCCTCCCCAACTCATACTCTGTCCCTCTCTCTCTCCCTCAAGAATAAACAAACATTAAGAAAAATTTTTAATATCAGATCAGAGGGGCGCCTGGGTGGCTCAGTTGGTTGAGCATCTGGCTTTGGCTCAGGTCATGATCTTACGGTTTATGAGTTCAACCCCATACTGGGCTCTCCACAGACAGCTCGGAGCCCGGAGCCTACTTCGGATTCTGTGTCTCCCTCTCTCTCTGCCCCTCCCCTGCTCGTGCTCTCTTTCTCTCTCTCAAAAATAAACATTAAAAAATAATAATAAAAGTATCAGATCGTATAACATCACTCCCCTGCTTGCAAGCCTTCAAGGGCCTTTCTTTGCTCTTGAAATAAAGTGTACATCTTTATGAGGCCACACAGGGCGAGGGCTCTGCTCCCCTCTCCCCTCCCATCTTGAGGCCCTCTTCCCCTACTCACTGAGCTCCTTTTTAGATTCCTGACACTTGGGGTTTTTGTGTAAGCTCATCCCTCTTCTCTAGACCTACTTCCTTTTTCTCTTCCAATGGCTAGATCCTTGCTATGCTCAAAGTCTCAGCTCAAGGTCACCTCCTCAGAAAATACTTTTCCTATCATCCTGTTTAAGTGGGCCGCCCTCTCTTCTTCCCCACAAGGATTTCTCTTATAAGAGTCTCCTGTTTACATCTTCATGGCCCTTTCCAATTTATATTTACGCCTCTGTGTTTGCTTACTTGTTGTTTATATCCCCCAGGAGAATGTAAGCTCAAAGAGGGCAGTAGCCATATCAATTGTATTGGCCAAGGCTCTGGAAATCGCGTATTGAATGAGTCTAGGTGGGAAATAAGAGGGGCCACGGTCGTACTGACAATGGGAAGTGAAGAAGATACACACACGAGAGAAATTTAAGAGGCAGAACCGGGGACGGTGGTAATGTAAGCGGATGGCTGGGAGAAAGTTACTCCCGCTCGCACAGGTCTATGTGTTAGGAGGAGGTGTGCGTTCGTAAGGCGAAGATGTTAAGTTGAGTTTGAGTATGTTTTGTTTCTGAGCTGGCCTATCAACGTGGAGGCGTCCAACCGGCAGGTGGAAATACACAATTGCAGTTGATGGAAACAAGAGGGATAGGTTTGGAAGCTGTTGATGTAGAGGTGAGAGCTAAAAACCAGCGTGGGACTGGCGAGAGGGACAGTGCGGGACAGGAGAGCAGATAAAAAAGTAGAGCCTACGAGGAGGGGAAGAGGAGAAACAAGAAAAAGATGAGAAGAGCAGAGAGAAGTCATCGGCCATTTCTTCATTCCACACTCAACAAACGGTAGGGAACACACCCTCGGTAGAATCGTTGTAAGGGAGACAAAGACCGCGTGCTTTAGGTCAGGAAGGCCGTCTGTCTTATTCATTGGTAAATCCCCAAGTCGTAGAACAGGGCCTGTACATAGCATTTATTTAATGTTCCAACAGGGCAGTTTGTGGAATCTGCAGAAATTCTGCAGGAAACGCAACGTACACATTGCCTGGCAATGGGAACATGGTTAAGAGGGTAGAATTGGGGCTTTACTGGCGCGCCTGGGTGGCTCAGTCGGTTGGGCGTCCGACTTGGGCTCAGGTCATGATCTCACCGTTGGTGGGTTTGAGCCCCGCGTCAGGCGCTGTGCTGACAGCCTAGAGACTGGGGCCTGCTTCGGATTCGTGTCTCTCTCTCTCTCTCTCTCTGCCCCTCCCCTGCTGGGTGCTCTGTCTCTATCTCTCTCAAAAATAAATACACATTAAAAAAAACAAAGAAAAAAAAAAGAAGGGAGGCTTTATTCAGTAGAGCAGCACTGGAGGCGTTTCTGAAGTGCCATGACTCAGCTGTGGCTGTACTTGAAGAGGTCATGGCCTCAGTGTCAAGCATGGATTCAGAGTAGAGGAGACAAGAGATTCGAGGTGGGGTCAGAGGCCGTTCTAAAAGTTGAGTTATCGAGTGACGAAGACCTAAATGTGGTGGCCCAAGGAAGAATGGGAAAAATGGACCAAACCCTAGGTGACTTAGCAAAAGGGCAAACGGGAGAAAACATCAAGTGTCGCCCAGGTGACCTGCACGTCAGTAGCACTGTCAGCAGAGAAGCATAGCCCCTCTCCAGGCCTGAGCTTCCCCTTGTGAAAAAGGAGACTGCCCAGCGCCCTTTTAACATGCTATGCCCCTTCAGTCCGTTTTATCCTGCTCCTGAGGGAACACTCTCTCTTGCTCACCTCCACCCCCTATCCCAGTATCATTCAGCACTGAGGGCCGAGGGCTCCCAGAGATGCCCAGATTTCATTATCAGTCAGAGTCCCTGACTTGCGGGGTCTGGGGCCATCCTGAGGTGTATTTGAGGCTGGAAACTCTAGCAGTTGAGCTTGGAGAGACAATCCCGGCAATAGAGCTCCCCTAGTTGGTCTCCCCCGACTTCTGCCCAGCCGGCACCATCAGTCTTCGGCTCTCCATCTTGGCCTAGGACTCTGGCTTTCTCCACGATCAGACCCAGGACCTAGCCCCGCGCGTGTGTGCAGTACAAAGAGGCATGCGTGGTTTCTCTGGTCCTACGACGGGCGATTCCAGAATTGTCCAGGTCGGGTGTTCTCTGAGCCCCTGTTCCCTGGATAACCCAGACCCTCTTGTACTCCTTCCCAGGGAAATCTGACACATGAACAGAAGAGGCTTCTGCTGCCTGAAGTGGTTTCAGGGGCACAGAGAATGGCTATTGCTTCCTCCCTACCCCTTGTCTCAGACAGCCTTAGCCCTCCCGCCTGAGATCTGGTCCCTGGGAAACACAAATTTCTAAGGAAGGGAAACGTGCTAGCCACTCATTAGTCACTCAAATCTAGGTCACTGGACTTTTCAGGTGTAGTGAGTGGCAGAGCACCAGTGACCTGACTGCCCCGGGATCCTGGGCAAAAGACACTAAAAACAACCACCAAAACTGCCAGTGTTCTTGTTTGCCAAGGCCAGCCGGGTTGTCCGAGTTTGCTCTTCATCAGCGGGCCTTCACCCTCCTCGTTTCCTTGATGTGCTTCCCGTGCCACCCCTCATCCTCGCCCGACCTCTGCCCAACCAGGGTGGCAGCAGCTGAGGTAAGAAAGTGCACCTGCCTCTGGGGACCCAGACTCACCCAAGAAGAGCAGAGCTGTCCACAGCAGCATGTCGCCCAAAGGGGGGCAGGGCACACGCTCGGCTCGGTCACTACGGGCAGCAGGGAGGGGGCGGGTTGAAGGGATCTGCATCAATTCCTGGCACACGGTGGCCCTGGCAAGCACGGGCGTGGCAGTCCCAGACTTCTCTCGAGGCCTGACTGATTCCACCCCGGGGGAGGACAGACCAATTCTGAAGTCCCAAAGAGGAAGTGAAAAGAAATGTTGTTTTACCATAGGCCCCTCCCCTTCCACCCTTTTTCCTCTCAACTGTTCCCTCCCAGAAGACTCGGAGCTTCCCAGAATGGATCTGGCCCAGCCCAATTCCAAATTCACAGAAATTTCAGCAACCGGGAAACAACTTCTGTGTCTTTTGGGACACAGCCGGGCTCAGCCTCTGGGAGCAAGAGGGGAATGGCCACCCAAGCTCAGCTCAGACCCTCCTATCTGTTCCCAGGTCTTTAGAAAAAGCAGTGGAAAAGAATGTGGAGTCAGTCTTCTCTGACTTCTAGTTCCATTTGGAGGCCCAGGCGCCCACCATCATTCGATTTTCTTTATTATCCAATCCCTGACTCACTCCTGAATGGTGAGACAAGAACAAAGAGGTGTGTCAGGTGGAATCAGGATGATGATCCCCGTCCCCTTATTCCCCTTGGACATGCGTTCTTTTGCCCGTTCCTTCAACAGGGATCTTTTGAGCACCAAGCTGTGCCCTGGTTCTTTATCTTCGCCACCCTCGTTCCCATCCCTGTCCCTGTCACTATGGCAAAGCAGCACGGGCCTTGGAGCTAGATAAGTCTAGTTTTGAGTGCTAGGTAGCTTCTCAGAACCTCAGATAGCTCGTCTGTAAAAACGAAGGTAATCAGGGACACCCGGGTGGCTCAGTCGGTTAAGCGTCCGACTTCGGCTCAGGTCACGATCTCCCGGTTCGTGAGTTCGAGCCCCACATCAGGCCCTGTGCTCACAGCTCAGAGCCTGGAGCCTGTTTCGGATTCTGTGTCTCCCTCTCACTCTCTGCCCCTCCCCTGCTTGCACTGTCTCTCTCAAAAATAATAAATAAACATTAAAAAAAGAAGAAGAAGGTAATCAGGACTACCCTTCAAGCAGAATTTCCCAGCCTCAGTACTTTTGATATTTGGAGCCAAACGGTTCTCACGGGGAGGGCCTGTCCTATACATTGTAGAATAATTAAGAGCACCTCTGGCCTCTACCAGCGAGATGCCAGGGGCCACCCTAGTTGTGAAAATCAAAATGTCTCTAGACTTGGACAAATGTTCTCTCAGAGGCAGAGTTGCCCTGGGTTGAGAACCACTGCATCCAAGGTTCTTTTGGAAGAGAAATGAAAATTGGAGGGCTAGCCAAGTGCCTGGTACATCATGGGTACCCAATGAAGGCTAGTTTCCTTTTCTTGCTTTCTATCACCATCCTCATCACCGTTTCATCCCCGGAACATAAGATTCTCTTCTCAGGGCCCTTTCCTGGGGCTTCTTTCCCAAATGCCCTCACAGGAAGCAAGCTTTAATACTCAAGGAAATAACACCGTCACACCTCTTCTCACACCCGTAATTTTCAGAAACCTCAACAGCCTCAGCCCATCAGCTGCAGGCTTTTACTACTGGCTTCATTCAATGCTCCTAACCCCAATCTATTTCCAGCCCTTATCTGATTTTCAGGTGAATTTCTTCCCCGGTGACAAGACACCAATGATCGGACATCAATACTTGAAACATATCATTAGAAACCAATCAGGTTAATTTGTATCTCGAGACTCACAAAATGGAAGCCCCCCTGCCAGTGGCCTGGCCCACATCACAAAATCTAAATCTAAGTCAGCCTGTGCTTACAGGAAACACCTGTCAAGGAAACCTCATGTACACCAATCACAATCTATCTACGTGGCTTTGGCTAGCTTTCCATATCCTAGAAAAGAGGGAACTGCCAGCCTTATAGGGAAATCTCCAACCTTCCAGCTGATCAGGCCATTTCCTAGTTGCCTCTTCCAATGATCTATAAAACTCACTGTTCCCCCAAATCCCTCAGGAAGAGTGCTCTACTGCTTGTGAGGTCCTGTACTCCCCCAACCCATGGAATGTTTTCCCTTAAATAAAGGACAGTGAACTTGTTATTAATTGTTTTAGTTTTGTCATTTGGCAGTCTTGCCAATGAGGATGGGAGCCCAAGACCGTTACTAAGAATCTGGGGTTGGTGCCTAGATGCAGGCGAAGGTCTCCACAGAGCCGTTTTCATTCCCTGCCTCTTTGGCTGCTTTCTGGGATCTCCGGCAAACTTCCTTCCAGTTGAGCTCTGCCTGTTTCATACGCTGAGTTCTTCAATTGTCTTTGTTCTACTCCTTCCAGGAGGAAAATCAGGGTGTGAGAGACCGGATTTTTCACGGTGAGACATAGTGAGCCACCATATTTGGGTTTGGAGTCCACCTCATCTCCAAGGGAAGTGTCTTTCGGAGGTGCTGATAGGTCTCAGGGACGGTGCTCAGGCAGCCTGAGACAGCAAGTCTGGTTGAATTAAGGAGGATTATTTCAACAAGGGAAAATAGTGGGTCTTCTTCAATCAAAGAAAAGTGTGATGGGAGCCATTAGGGGGACGCGCAAAGCCTCAAGGCAAGTCCACAGCATAAAGAGTTGGAGGACTTAAGGAAATAAACAAAGACCCAAAATGTGGACCTTTCTGGTGGACAGCACATCAAAATCTAAGAAGACACAAGCAGACCACTGAAATTCACTAGAGGGGCACCTGGCTGACTCAGTGGGTAGAACATGTGACTTTTGATCTTGGGGTTGTAAGTTCGAGTCCCCCATTGGGTGTAGAGATCACTTAAAAATAAAATTTAAAAAAAATCCATTTGAGTGTCTGCCACTATAAAGAAATATTCTCGGGGGTGAAGGTGGGGGGATAATCTTTGTAAAAAGGATAAGAGATCTATTGCTAATGAGAATCTTTGAAGCCAAAGCCACAAAATTAGTAGGCATGGGTCAAGGTCTTAAAAGCCACTTACCACCCAAATCTAAGGTTCCCATGCTAGCAGAAGTTTGGTCATGGAACAGTTTGGACCAACACTAGGTCACCTGCTAACCCAAGAAAATTCCCAAGCACTGATGTCTGCTGGACAACACTACACAGCCCTCAACCCAGTGGCACATCCCTCTCGGTTATTAATTTGGCTCCGAGAGACCCACGCCTTGGCTAACGAAATGGGATCCTCAATTTGCAAAGAATCAAGCATTGTCGCCTGCCAGCACACCTGCGTCTTTGATGTCTGAGAACCACGGTCCTAGAAGCTGTAGACATCTATAAATAATGGCAAAATCTTACTAAAACACACGAGAAGGACCACAGCTATTACGGGAAACATTCTAATAAGGCAAGAGCATTCATTTAAGAAGTGCACTTGGGGGGGCGCCTGGGTGGCACAGTCGGTTAAGCGTCTGACTTCAGCCAGGTCACGATCTCGCGGTCCGTGAGTTCGAGCCCCGCGTCAGGCTCTGGGCTGATGGCTCGGAGCCTGGAGCCTGTTTCCGATTCTGTGTCTCCCTCTCTCTCTGCCAGTTAAGCGTCGGACTTCAGCTCAGGTCATGATCTCACGGTTCATGGGTTTGAGCCTGGAGCCTGCTTCGGATTCTGAGTCTCCCCCTCTCTCTGCCCCTCCCCAGCTCCCCCTGGGTGTGTGTCTCTCTCTCAAAAATAAATAAACATTAAAAAAAAAAAAAGAAAAAAAGAAAGAAAACAAGAAGTGCACTTAAAAGTAAGGTTTCCAACTCAAACAGAGTGAGCTACCTATTTTTTAATTAATCAATTTATTTATTTCTTTACTGAAAACTAGATGTTACAGTTCATTCCATCTTCATAATTACAGACCTTACAAGGCAAATAAAGCAAACTCTTCTCCCGTTTAACCAGGTGCAGCATTTGGGCACTTTTCTGATAACACAGGTTGGCCGAATTAATCAGCCTGGGTTGAAAGCTGGCAACCACAAATCTTTGCAACGTAGGATGTTCCTCCACAGTGACTCCAAGGATCTTAACTCCTCAGCTACACTGTGAGCTCTGAAATGGTTTTCACTGCAACATTTTTCAAGCTTTCACATCTTAACCTGAAATCTGACCCCTCGTCTTACGGCAGGGAACTGTGTTCAAGCGGTCTTCCTGTTGGCCAACCCAGTCCGCCAGCGATCTTAACAGTTATTATGTACAAATACAGCCGTGCTCCCGAGCGCTGATTAAAACTTGTGCTGGGATCCCATTTCAGAGCATCAGCTCCCTGAGGGAAAAGAGAGATCCAACCAATTGCTTCCATGAGTCATAACCCCAGTACCGTGTACCTAATGTCCTTTGCAGCAAAACTCAAGAGGTCAGGCAATCTTCATCATCCTGACAAGTTTATCAGTGTTGCCATACAAAGGACATTCGGAGCTGATCCCAGACCAAGCACTGCAACCACAATCCCAAGAAATCATTCCGTTTTAGCACAAAGAGTGCCTGCAAGATGCCAGAGTACGCGAGAAATCATCTCGAAGCAAAGAGCGATGGTTCATCCTCTTACAAGCGACAGGAAATCCAGGAGGAAAGAAACCTCCTCCCTCCTAACCTCCTCACTCACACTGATGGCTACTTTCACAGCCTTAACTGACAAAACCCAGTGCCCTCTACTTCCTGATTCAAGGAGTCCATTTTTAAGGTGACCGTCAAGGTCAAGAAGAACTGTGATCTATGAATTCTAGTTCTTCAATGGGAAGCTCCTTCTCCATTATCGCTTTCTGAACACATTGCTGGTAGCGCTTGAAGAGGTCGGTGCGCGGGTCCCCAGAGCCGTCCCCGTTGAGGAACCTCTCGGCAAACCAGTGATTAAAGCACTTATCTTACGGGTGCTTCCTGTCCGTGCAGGCCTCCCCTGCGCTGTTCATGGTCATGGTGACGGAAGTGCTGGGCTACTTATTTAAAAAAAATTTTTTTTCAACGTTTATTTATTTTTGGGACAGAGAGAGACAGAGCATGAACGGGGGAGGGGCAGAGAGAGAGGGAGACACAGAATCGGAAACAGGCTCCAGGCTCTGAGCCGTCAGCCCAGAGCCCGACGCGGGGCTTGAACTCACAGACCGCGAGATCGTGACCTGGCTGAAGTCGGACGCTTAACCGACTGCGCCACCCAGGCGCCCCTGGGCTACCTATTTTAACTGGCGTGAAGAAGCTTCCAAAAGTCTTC